TTTCTAATATGCATGATCTGTCTTGGAAAAACTTTTTAAATGCATGTTTAGATAATATAAAACTGAAACTGTATTTTAGATTTTTATCATTATCCTGGTATTGGAATGAAGATAGTTTTATAATTTTACGTCAGTTGAAGTCCCCAGAGGACTTTAAAAAGGCAACTGACAGAATCTCAGACCACCAGAAATTTTGATTCAGTGGTTTTGAGGTGCAACCTAGGAACCTGCATTTTAAATACATGACCCAGGTGATTCTAACATTTTTACTCTGAAAGCACAACCTTAGATCAAAGAATGAAAGGAAATGATGAAAGCTAAGGCCTCGTAGCTTAGGAAAGAAATCCTATTTTATAGATACTTTGAGATTTGAAAGAAACCATAGTGGTATTTTCTTGAACTTCTTGTGTATTCTTTCTGTAATTTTACTGACAGATGGGCATCTAGCTCTTGTGTATCTATTTCCACATACAAAATAAAGTAATCTTATCTTCTACATGAATCCCCAAGTACTGAGGGAGGCCTTTGTAGTCTCTTTTTCTCCTGGCTATCTAAGCCTGGATCCCTTCAACCATTCCTCATGGACAATTCTCAGTGTGCTAGTCTCATTGGCACACAGTAAGTACCATGGTAAGTGAATGCTGCCACATTACCTGGGACAGAAGGTTCTGTTCCTTCACTTAAATAAACATCAAACTTTATTAACCCCTTGTATAAATGACACTGATTTATAAAACCACATCTTGTTGATTTTGAGCCTTATTCTAGTCTTTCCAAATAATTTAGAATGACAATAAAATCATATTAACAGTACTATCCATCTTTTGTGATAAGCATGCTTTCTAAGGTTTCTTCTAAATCCTGTAGAGAATTTGGGGAATACCATGTTAAGAACAAAAGGAGAAAGAAATACTAGAAAGTTACCAGCAGTCCTGGAAAACAGAAAACAAAGGCTGCTCAACAATCTAGAAAGAAATGAAAAGAGGAACAATCTCCCTTCTCCTTAACTGTCTCTTAAAATCTCACACCCCCACTTTAAGCTTATTGTGTACATCAGAGAGCCTCAGAGAAAACTCAAGAAGGTCCAAGTAATCCAAAGTCAATGGAAAACCAGCTACTTCAACAACTGAACCCCATATTTTAGCATCCATGGAAACAAAGATCCCCTAAAAACTGTACAGAAGATCACAATCAATTTTAACAGCTGCTTGGAGTCCCCCAAGAAAAAGTGTATTAATAGTTTCATCATCAACAAGAACATATCCTACCACCTACTTTGTTGTCAAAGCTATTACACATAAGCAGTCAAAGTAAGTTAGTAAGATCAGTCACCTATTTCAGAACACGCTATAACGAACACTAGATTAGATAGCAAACTTTTGGACCCTTACTGACCACATGATAGGCACGATGCCTCACAGAAATCACTTTATTCCTGTGCCTCAATTTCCCTACATGCGCTGCTCCTATCATAGAGATTCTGTGAAACCAAGAACTATTCAAACATATCAGCTATTAAAATACTATTAAGTGAAAGCAAAAAAAGTTACAGATCACCTAGCTGAAATATATTCAACTGAATGAAGACTACCCAGTTTCTGACTGGGGAACAGAAAGACAGGCAGTTAAGAGGTAACCAAAAGGATTACAGGAGGGGCCCTGCCATGACTTAAGGGTAAAAGCGATAAAGAAAGGTGGTTTAAAGGTGTCAAAGTGTGATGTGACATGGTTAACTGCTGCTACTGTACGACTCTTTCTTAATTAAGGACAATGCAAAGAGTGAGTGGAAATATTTTGGTCTCCAACCAAGCAGAGTTTTAGCAATGACCCCTGCCAATAGGGGAGAGGATAAAGCCACAATAGTGCAAATGGCACTGTATTCTGCAGAGCTAACTAGCATCATTATCAGAGACTAAGAAATGCTCACCAGAGAGGTATCAGATTATACATACATACTCTGGAATGTATGTGTAATCTCAGTGGTTGTTAAAGAAGCTGGACTGAAATTTACAGAGATTCAAGTTCTAATCCCAGAGCTCTGCTATCAAACTAAGTAATACAACCTTGTTATATAAATTTCTCCTAGGATTTATCTAAAACTTAGGAAAATACCACCTTTAAGTTCTTTCAATTTTCAAGCTGTAACAGTTTTACAGATGTATAGACGTGAATTCATAAAATCTCATACAAACATGTTAGGTACTGAAATAAAGGTGCCTCTAGGTGTAAGGTACATATATTTATAATCAGTGATGGACATAATAACTGTTCTGAAGACAATACTATGTTAGAAGCTCCAGCATAAGATGTGGCTTAAAATGTGGAAAATAAATTAGGTAAAATGCACCCAAATAATACTAACAAGATCAAGTTCTGAGGGAGGGGGAAAGTCAATTATTAAAACATCATTGTTATTTAACCTATCACTTAAAAAACACATTGATATTTACACTAAGCAATTCTCAAAAGACACACTAATCTGAGGTTCTAGATAACGAATCTGTCTTGAAATCTTAAATGCAGTAAAGAATGAAAGATACAAAAAAAAGGAAGCCCTTTTTCACTACCAGTAGCCCATCTCAAGTCAGCCATTTGCTAATTCCTTCTATAAGGGTATGTATTTTAAGTATTAGGCCTTTAGAATCTTCAATAGAATTTCTGAAAAGCCAGGAAATGATTACTCTTTAAATTCTGTGGCTTTATTTTCTGATACAAGTAAAATGTTTGAACATTTCAGTAACTCTATGTTAGGCCTTTAATTCCAATTATATTACTGACAGCCTTTAGGAAAATACTAAACTACAGCTCTGGCTACATTTATCAAACCCCTGTCAAAGCCAAGATCTCCTTCCATTAAACTGGAGTCAATTTTTCTCACATTTGGTTTTGACTTCAATAACAAACCATCACCTACAGAGGTGAAAATGCCCTCACTCTCATGCAAAGTGCTTCTAAATTAGCTTTCAATCAAAACTTACTGTTAGGCTGGAGGAAGGAAAAACAAGGACATGCAAACAGAACAGAGATGCCATAGGGGGAGAACAGACCAGACCCCAAGGTCCGTGCCTTATATGGAAAGGGGACAGCTCTTCCTGATTTCCATCCTTCTGATGTGCCAACTAAGACCCGGATGTCAGCCTCCTCCCTCTTGGAAGGAAAAAAAGTTTCTAGTTGTCTATTACGTCACCTTTAGCCAATCATACCTCTCCACGCCCCCTAGGGCACCCACGCCTCCCCCTCCTAATCCCTTATAAGCCCCCGCCCTCCCTGACCGGGTGTGACTTCCCGGGCCTGTAGTACCCAGACCGCGGAACATCTCCCGGGAGTGGCACTCAAATAAACTACCTGGCCCTTTGTGGCCTCTCTTCGCCTGCGTGTTTTGGCTGAAATTTATCTTACACTTACATATTTCAAAATAACATAAAGCCCTCATTAAAAAGGTGGATTCACTCAGAAGCTCTATATAATAGGCTCATGTATTAGCCAAGATGGAATTGTTTAGTAATCAAAATTAATTATTAAATGATTTTCTCCGAACACCCTTCTTTAAAACAAAAGCAAAGTGTAGAAAGCCACTTTCAGTAAAAATACACATTGAAGAGCAGATAATGCTTATGGAAAAGCCAGCTCTAAATTCTGAATAACAAAATTAACATTCACATTTTGAATATCGCACATGATAGACATCAAGAACACTGACTGAAAGGGCAAACCTGTCACAAGTTCTGGGCTACAGTTGTTAGTGCTACCACTAAAGGAATCAAGGGATCTCTTCACATCTTGACCTTCTCATTTGTAAATAAAGGGAAACTGAAGATCTGTATTTTTAGCGCTTGAAAACAGTAACACAAAACTGATTTTACACCCTCCCCGACAAAAACATTCTTTGTCAAAAATAGCTTGATTCTTACTTTCATGTATTTTCTTTCGACCACAAAAATAGTAAATAAAAGGAGACACATATTTAGTGTTTGTGCATCTTCTAATCAGACACTATTAATCATTTCTTTTAAAATTAAATTACCTACCTCACTGGGGTGTTGTGAGGATTAATTCATTAGTGTTTGTAAAGCACTTTGAGATCCTCAGGTCAAAGGCGCTATAGAAGTGCAAAGTAGTAGTATTATTACTAGATTCTTTGCTTATTTAAGGCACTTCACAATACTTTAAAACCTAACTCTGTGTTATGATTTAGACATCTACTTGTAAAACCCTGCAATTTATTCACAATACTTTTAACTCTTTTTGGATATACTATAGATGGGCAGGATGTTTTAAAACAAATGATTTTATCTACAAATGGAGGGAGAGAATAAGGGAAAATCTAGTGTGACAAATTTTGTTTACCACAAAATTTTAGTGAGAAATCTTGTTTATCAGTTTTTTAAGTGTGCCTAAGTTGTACCCAAAGCAAAGCAAAGCCCACTTCATCACAGATACAAGAAATTGTTTTCTTCAAACAGAAAAGGGAACAATTTGGAAATCAACTCCGCTTTAAAAGGGTACTAAGCGTGTAAATTAATTACATGCATATACATGATACTGTCATTTAAAACTTTTTTTATTTAAATCACAGTACCAGGATTAGTATGAAGTCACGTCAAAGTAATTGAGCAGCTTTTTTTTTCTTGAAACTAGCCTCCCACCCCAGTTATACAAAACAAACTAAGCATTGAGAAGAAGTCAAAGCAATTTTGCTTTATGGAGTTTTAAGAGAAAAAAATGAGGGTCAAGGCTCCAAAAACAGTTAAAATCTTGAATTATTCCACCACTTCCCACCTCTTTTCTAATGAAACCTTTTTACAATTAAAGTGTTTTAAAATCAGAACACACAGAGAGCTAACAGAACCAAAGCTACCTATACACAGAATAGTCTGCTTGATAAAAAGACACTTCTTAAAATAAAAATGCCAACCGCCTCTGATCAGATTCTCCAGTGCGACAAAGCCCCAGTCCCAAGAGCTAACTGGGACTTGGACAGTGACACTTTAAGCACTTACCTCCTGCTCCTGTTGGAAGATGACGACTCTACCACCTTTATCTCCTGTTGCTAGCAATTCTCCAGAATGATTAAATTCTACTGTAGAAATTATGTCTGCTGTATAATTGAAACAAAAACAAACCGAAGACTTTAGTTTTTCTTTTCCAACTCACTATGATTCAGCATGTTTTTCCTAATACATTCCAAATCTATATATCAATCTACCATCATAAATAAAGCAAATATCAAGTTTTTTCATGGATATTTTAGCTCACCAAAAAAAATTCTCTCAAGAATAAGCCAAACTGACACTATTTTAACCAACAAGAACACGACAAATAATAATTACTAGTGGTTTATTAATATTTCACCAAATTATCAAGAAATAATTGTTTAACATCCTAGTTCATCACTAAACATTAACAATTATTTTGTTAGTTTCCTTTCGTACATACTTTTAATAAGCCTCTTTATGCAAACCCAAAGATGGCCCATAAAATTAAGGCTGATATAACTAAAATCAGGGGTGGGGGGAGGAGGACTGTACATGTAAAAACAATTTCAGATAGAACTTTAAGTCCTAAGTCAAATTATGGTCTCTCAAACAAACAGAACACTTGTACCACGAATGCTTTGGGTTATGCACCTTTGATATGCACAGCTCTCTTTGTGGCTCCCAAATACTACAGGGGGCTAGCTACTAGAATCAGTCATGTTACCCTCAAAGTCAGTGCTAACTTCACAGTCAAGTTCAAATATAATTACAGGGATTTTCCTCTTAACTTTTTGACACCAGAGGCACTATTTTCCTAAGGAAAACTCTAAGTAACAGAGCAGGCATTAAGATAAAGCAATTATACCACAATAGTTCTTCATTATAAAACATTATGCAAAATTAGGGAAAGTGCATTTTAAATAAGTGATTATTTCTGTAAAAGAATTTTTTTGGATTATATTAACTCACTGTAAGAATGTGATTTTATGTAATAAAGAACGCTATATCTTAAATTAAGGAATTCACTGACCAATTTATCTTATCCAGCACTGTATCTTATTTTTTTTTTTAGTGCTTTTTCCAAGTCCATCTTGATCTTGAAAAGCTTTCTTTGCTTCCTTCACTGTCTAGATCAAAGGCAACTTCCCTTTTTGGAACATTCTGAGAACTTACTCAAAATTATACACACTATGCCAAGACACTGCAACATACGTAGCTGCACACAAAATTACAGATAATTTCAGAGTGTTTGGACAGCACACCACCTCCAGGTTAAAAACCTGAGCCCCAAACAGCCCACCATGGTTGGCAGTATCATGAGGAAAGAACACGTTTAGTTTATACAGGTAACATAAAGGTGTAAAACTGAATCTACTAGACTACTCTGTACAGCCAAACATCAGTAAGTACTTAAAACCATTCTGTAGTTGCTTCTGTTGTGAATATATTAAAATATTAAAAATATACACAGTCCCTGCACTTAAAACACATTAGAATACAGCTGGAGAGAAAATTAGGAGCTAATCATCAGACAGAATATTCAGAGTCACATCTTATTGGAAGTTTGGGATCTAAAATCAGGGAATAAAGGCAGAAATCATATACAGTAAAAATTATCTTTAAATTCAAATCCCTCAGACAGGGATCATTTGGGGAGATAATCTTTGTTTAAGTCCAACTCAACTGATCCTCCATACAGCACTGACAGTTTGTGGTTTCTTTGGCTTACCCGCCAAATGAACTAGTTAGTTTGCATATAAAGTCACGCTGGACCAAAAATAACCTATCTTTGAACTCTGGAATATGCTTTTGGCTTGGTGAATGCTCACACCTGACACCTGCAACAGATCAACTCTCCTGTTCTCCCAATGGGATAATAAAGCAGAGCTGGTTCAGTATTTAAGTTTTTCCCCAGGTCCAAACTGTTACATTCATCTAAATTAAAGAAATTACAACTCCACATTGGGCAGATAAGCTGTCAGACTGGAAACTAACTAAGGGACAGGTCGGTGCTCCTGGTGTGACTAATCTCTCTGCTGAGCAGCAGTGAAAAGCAGAGGGGATAGGTTTGCTGCAAGATGGGCTCAATTTCTAATGGGGAAGAAACCTGCATCAACCTTAAGTAAACTGGACAGGAAAAAATCTGGAGGTAACTCAGTCAATTATGAGATCATTATTTTAAAAAAGTACTGAAAAGATCTGGGATGGGGTGGAGGTGGGCATGGGGGGGATTCTACACCTATTATTATTCTTAGAAGACAGAACAAGAATCAAGTGATAAAGCAGTAGGCTTTAGTACCCCAGAGAGTACTGACTCACATAGTGAGTTAAAATGCAGTCACTGAACATGTGACAGGGCGGGGAAGAAAGGGTAAGTATATATATATACGTGCCTGTGTACACCTGACATGGGGAGAGGGAAGGAAAAGAGGACGACTAATAATGTATTGCAAGATTTAAAAAGAATAGTTAAGACATCTGCTCTTTAAATGCTCACTTCTTATCCCAGGAATTGGTTATTTTACAACAAGAGTTCCAGAGTAAGGTGACGTTTTAAGTGTTTAGTACTGAACCAGCTTTGTAGCAAGTGCACAAAACTTTTAAGAGGCACGCCTGAGACAGAATGAGGAATCCCAGGAACTGGCCTAAATATCAAAAGAAGCTAAATGTTAAGAAAGGACAAGAACCAAAGATTTACACCATGCAAGTTAACTTAGTTTAAATCCTTGAGGGAGAGAAATATTGGGTGAAAGGCAACAATTTTCTCCATTTATAGATATTCTTAAGACACTGGTGTTTGTTATTATATAGATCTTGCCAAAAGCCAATGAACATGAGCAAGTTTTAGAAATAGCCAACTAAGCCCCGGCTTAAACAGTACAGAGGAATTTTACGTGTGAAAGGGGTGGGCAGATTTGTGGTCTCTTTGCTGTCATTTTTATACTGCATATATTTAATACTGCCATATTTCAGGCACGTAAATTTTCCTGGTTTGTACTGTGGAATTTAAATAGGCACTGTCATGCTGTGCCTTCATTCCTTCCCACCACCAAAAAAGAGAAGGGGAAAAAAAACCCTGTCTGAACGCTCTGCACAAGTGTGAGGGCTGCCATATACATAACTACCTTTTCAATCTCCAAGTTTATTGATGATACTTTTCAAGTTTTTCTGAGTTGTGAAACATCAAGAACTCAGAGGGGACCTCATTGAGAATAATATGACACGTAAGGATGAACAGAAAGGAGAAGGAGAATAAAATCAAATTCTGCTTACAGACTAAAAAAAACATCCAGGAATCAATTGTGGACAACACCATAAAACTGAGATTCCAACGGCATGTACCACTGCACACTGGTGTGCCAAGAATGGGTTACAGGCTTGACTGGACAGTGCAGAACAGCCAATCTGTAACCTCCAGCTGTGAGCAACCTGTTAGATAAACTGAGATAGTGTGCCATGATATGCAAGCAAAGGTGAGGAAACGTGGATCTAAAAACAGTGCTCCCGTCTGTTTTACCCATACAAGGTCTGCCAAATATTGGTACCTATATTTCTGGAAAATAATAAGACTATTCACAGAAAACGTTCTTCTAATGTTCCAATTCCTGTACCATTAAAAAGAATTACCAGGTAGATGACCGCAGTCTTCAATAGCACTGTTTAACGGAACTTTCCATTATCGTGGAAGTGTGTCCTCTATCTGTACTGTTCAGTACAGTAATCGCTAGCCACATGTGGCTCCTGTATTTTAGTTTTAGGCATTTGTGGCTAATGGCTACCATACCATATAGCCCAGACCTAAAACATTACTAAGTGGACATTTTTATTGCAAGGCCAACAAAGCTGGAACTAAGAGGATTTTGAACATTTAAACAAAGCATTCTGGGTAAAATAAGACAACCATCTTATACACATGCACACAGAATTGCCCCAAGGAACTGGCTGAAAATATAAATGTACTTCATAAAAATTTAGATTCCTGGATACTAGTTTTAAAACAAACTAGTAAACGGAATCTTGAAAACACTTTACTCTTGAGATTAAATTGTTTTTAAAAAGTAAAGACATTAACTTCACTGGTAGAGCTGTAATACTATTGAACGTGAGTCACGGCCCAGTAAAATGCATCAACTGGGCCATGTTCTCACAAACCAACAATGAAGAAAAACATCCTCTTTTAAAGAGAAAAATAAGATTCTTTCCTATGACCAACAAAAATATTATTTTGCAATGGAAAAAAAATGTGTTAATCTTTTAAAAGAACACTCTGATATAGGTAATAAAAAGGACTTCCTTTTTTTATACACTACTTATAAAAACCAAGGATTTATACAGTATGTCACATAAAATACAGTTGTTTCTTCCTACCCTTTCTTTCTAAACCATCGGCACCTAGATTTCATCCTAAAAAGGTCAAAAAAACTTCTCTCTTCTGAGGGTGGAATGGTCACTAGTGGTGATGGTGAAAATAACAAGGACAGCATTATGGGTCCACTTTCACTGTATCAGGCACACTGCTTCCTACCTTCTCTACCTCTTATGTGCTTATAATAAACAGAACAGGACAAATACAGACAGTCAAAGGTTGATAAGCATAACACTCACAGAATAAAATTCAGACAAGGGAAACTTAATAGACAGTATACATAAATGTCAGTAATTAACAACGATTACCATATATTAAGTGACCAAATTGTTATTAGCTCTGACATTCTCTAAATACTCAGTTCTTGCATTGTGAGGCACTTAATGGGGTTTTGGTTACCCACTGCTTTTGTAATTCCATTTGAAGACTATGGCCCAAATAATCTGAAAGGAACCAATTAAAATTAGTACATAATTAGAGCTGTATTATCTATACAAAGAAAAAGCTGAACATATTTCAGACACCCAATAATTAGGAAATATAAAAATATCCTCCAGTACACAGGTTGGAAAACGATGGCCCACAAGCTATTTTTGTAAATAATGTGTTACTGGAATCCAGCCAGGCCATTTGTTTATGTATTGTCTTTGGCCACTTTCACTTGACAACAGCAGAGTCGTGAATAGTTTTAACACACTGAAAATATTTACTATCTGGCCCTTCACAAAAAAATGCTGTCAACCCCTGCTCTAGTAT